GTTTCTCCCTCTCTTGTGGGCCTTTTGGGAACAAGGTAATACATTTCTGTGCACCTCCAGAGAAAGAAGTGAATTTCCCTCAATATGTCCTCTGCACCAGATACCCACCAATCTCCAGGTCCAGAAAGTAACTTACTGGTATGATCACTTGGGATGCCAACCTAGACATCAACTGGAACTTGAATAAAAGTCTATGGCCTTTGACTTTGAGCTCATAATTTCACATCTGGAAATTTAGCCTATAAAATTAAAGCTAAACATGAAAGAAACTATAATTTATATACAGTAAGATTTATTGTTGCATTTTTAATAGTGAAAAGCCAGAAATAGCCAAAGGTAAACTCATATGGGAGGAGTCAGGTAAACTATAATATTATTTAGTTGATAAGATACATACATAGTGAATAAAAATGGTATTTATACAGAGAATGATATTTTTACTGTGCCGGGCATTAAAAAAGCAGGAGACCCACTTGTGTTTTAGTATGATTACAGCAATTAAATAATCTATGCCTAGAGAACAGGAATACGGAAATACAATACCTTGTTGACAGTTGTACGTGTAGGTAGGTGGACTTGAAGCTTTCTTTGCTTTCCAATTATTCTTCGTGGCCTGTATCAGAAAGAAGGCTATATTAAGCTAAAAGGAAGGCATGCAGGTGAGCACAGCACCAACTCTAACAGAGACACAGCACTGGTCATGGAGCCAGCTGTGAACAAGATGCACCGAGTGTCTGTCTGTCCCCATGGAGCCTGCAGTTCAACGGGGGCGGCAGGCCATAAGACAATTAACCACTGAGTGGGAGGAGTTACAAAAGGGGAAGGGAGAGCGCCTGGAAGCATAGAGTAAGGATAACTAACCAACGAGGAGTTTAGGGAAGGTCCCCCAGGTGTAGTGACCGACCCAGAGGCGGGGCTGCAAGGCAGGAGTCCCCGCATGAAGCAGGCAGTGGAACTTCAGACAGAGAAAGTGGCACGTGCGGAGAAAGGCCCAAAGTCAAGAGCACGGTGTATCCTGGGAACATCCGCCAGTTCGGGGTGGTAGCAGTGGGCTGGAGAAGGTGGGCAAGGTAAGAAGATAGCTGGCCACTTCTACCGACAGTGAGAAATTCAGATTTTATCCCCAGGGCAAGCAGAAACGGACATGAGTAGATTTACATATTTATTTTTACTCTCAGACCACACTGGGGAATAGAGGCAAGAAGGGGCAAGAAGGCATGCTGGGAAAGCAGCGAGGAGGGAGGGGGAGGGAGGCTTGCCTTATTCCAGGTCAGAGGTGGTGGCTCCACGATGCAGCAAGGGGGGACCTAGAGGGTACGACGCTAAGTGAGATAAGTCAGACAGAGAAAGACAAGCACCAAATGATTTCACTTATATGTGGAATCTAAAAAACAGACGAACAAACGACAAGCAGAAACAGACCCATAAATACAGAGACCAAACCGATGGTTGCCAGGGAGGAAGGATGGTGGGGGGTGGGCACAGTGGGTGAAGGGGAGAGGGAGATACAGGCTTCCGGTCATGGAGTGGGTCAGTCACAGGGAGGAGAGGAACCGCATGGGGAATACAGCCAATGATACTCTGATAGTGATGTATAGTGATTGGCAGTAGCTACGCTGGTGGTGAGCAGAGCTTAATGTAGAAAACAGTCACTATGTGGTATGCCCAAAACTAATGTAGCATTCTATGTTAACTATACCTCAAATTTTAAAATCACTTATTATTTTTTTAAAAAATGAATATGATAAAGTTCTATCTTTGAGAAATAATTAAAATTCCAGATAGTTCAAAAAAAATTTTTTTTAATGCCACAAGGAGGGCGCCCCTGGTGGCTCAGTCGGTACAGCGTCTGACTCTCAGTTTCAGCTCAGGTCATGGTCTCAGGGTCACGAGATCAAGCCCCACATCGGGGCTCAGCAAGGAGTCTGCTAAAGTTTCTCTCTCCCTCCACTCCTCCCTGCACTCACTTTTGCGCACGAGCTCGCTCTAATAAATAAGTAAATCTTTTAAAAATAAGTAAATAAATGCAGCAAGAAGTCTTCCTTTTGTATTAAGATTAATATTGGATGGCTGATTTGGGGATCTGTAGTAAGAACCCAACACTATAAAGGGTTTTTATTTTAAAATTTTCTAATTAAGGGCACCTGGGTGGCTCAGTCATTAAGTGTCTACCTTCGGCTCAGGTTATAATCCCAGGGTCCTGGGATCGAGCCCCGCATCGGGCTCCCTGCTCTGTGGGAAGCCTGCTTCTCCCTCTCCCACTCCCCCTGCTTGTGTTCCCTCTCTCGCTGTCTCTCTGTCACATAAATAAATAAAAATTAAAATAAAAAAATAAAATCTTCTAATTAGATAACAAGATTTTTAGTTTTTACTTTTAAATCTTTTAATTACCTAACAAAGATTTTAGAAATCTTCAGGACACATAAATCCTGGGTTAGCCCCGGATGAACGTCATAATGTGGAAATGTCATGTACTCTTTTAAAATCGTGCAGAATCCAAAATGTTTCCCAATGAAGGGATGATGGTGATGGGAAAACGGGCAAATACAGGCCTCAAAAAAAAACCCAGAAGGAGGAAAAGAAAAAAATAACATTCGGTTTTGTGACAGATCTCCTTCTGTCACCATGAGTTCCTTGAGAAGCAGGGGCTCCTGTACTTCCCATGGGGCCGGGGGCGTGGGGGTGTACTTGTGGAAGGAAGGAAGGAATGAACGAATAAGCGAACAAATGAATGAATACATACTGACTAAAGGCGTTTGAGGATTCTTTCTGATCTTTCTTGGTTTTGTTATTTTCATTTCCTGGCAGGGGCCACCCCTCACGCCTCTTACACACACCTGCTATGGCCCCGGCAGAGATGGGAAGTGGAGAGAGAGGCGGTCAGAAAAGGCTCCCTTCTACGTATTGGTCACTTAAGGATGTGTTACTTTGCACATATTTCAAAGTTAGGTAAACTGGAACCTTGCCTCGTTTTCCTGAAAAACTGGCAGCCCAGAAAACTTTTATTCAAATATTTGTCATAAATGCTATTTGGTTAAAATGTAGACTTTGTGGCTAAACATAACTTCATAAATATGCATTTACGATGCTTGTTGTAAGCGTTTCCAAAAGCCAAAATTGGAAAAGGCCACATTCCCAGAAAGGAGAAGGAAACTACATTTTGGGGAACTATTGTGTTTCAGGTAGCACGCTGACCCCCTTTTATGAACGGGGCATGGAGGCTGGATGTTGAGCAACTTACCCACAATCGCGTGGTTAATGGCAAACTCTGAACTTGAACTCAGATCTGTCAGACTTCAAAGCCCATGCTCCTTGTGCTCTTTTTGCTTTCATGTCATAAAAACAAATAAAAGTCAGTATGGGTCTTGTAGGAGTGAGGCATAGTAGATAAATCCAGATAAGAAGGTACTATAAGCCAAAGCTCTTTGAAGATTGTTACTGTGAACTCTTAGGAGGGAGGAATGAGAAATAAAGATTCTGAACTCGACTCTTCCTCCTTTGCACCTTAGTCTATTAATTTTTAATTTTACAAATGACCAAAATAAGACCTTGCCTTCCCTGAACGCTTAGCATTGAGATCGACAAAAACATCTCTCCTCCCTCCTGTTGACTTGTTTTCAGAGTCAAGTGTTAACAGAATCCATGGATTGCATTATTATAGTTAGATCAATCCATTGTTTCTCTCATTTAAAAGAGCTCTTATCCTGAGTTTTCTTCCTCCTTTTAAATGCTGCCTACCTTCTACAGGATGTTGTTGGGGCAATATTAAGTCTTTTCACAGGGCTGTCTCTTGGCCCTGGTACTCTCAGTCTCTTTCTCTCCCATTTGTCACAGTTGATGAGGATGTTCCCATCTGCCAGGCATATGGAATTGGTGGTGCTCAGCAAATCTTTGTTCCAGTCTGGTCCCAGAGAGTATTTTGGGATTATCTTGTAAATTCTCTCTTTCCTCTCCTGTGCCCTCAATATGCTCTATCTCTACTGTAGCAGCTATGGAAATCTACCTTGGAATCGAATTGATGATGTCTGCTTTCCCTCTTCAACTCAACTGTGAGCCTCTGGAGGCCAGGACTGGGTCTCATTCATCTTTGTGGGTCCCTTTCCTGACCCCCAACAGGGGGAGCACAGCACATTCCACAGAGGACTAAGCCCATAGCTGTTGATTGGCTTGAGACATTTTGTTGGCTTGAGTCCGTGCTAACCTGTCATTCCTAATAATTCTATGCACAAATGGAGAGGTTCTGAAAATAGATTAGTCAAGAAGGTGAATTTTGTGCTACTGCCGATGTGAGACCCCTAAACATAGCATCATTATAAAGTTTTCCTGGTGTGGATTTTTATTTCCCTTGGGCATTATTTGGAAGAGAGTGTGGATTCCCACATTATTCTAACCATGTATTACATAAATAAAAATAAGCCGTAGTTAACACTTAGAGGGCTTTTAGGGGTTACTCTAGATTTTTCTCAGGTAATCCCAGCCTAAATCAATAGGTTATGGTCAGCTTCAGAAACAGTAATACAGTAACAGTGTTGTCTTCATTTATGGAGTCAGGAGTCAGATAGTGGTCACCTGGCCTAAGCTGGGGCAGCCCACAACCCTCCAGGTTGATAAGATCATGGAGAAGGTTGTGACTCTCATGCTAGTTTTCAGGATACTTACAGAGCCTTTGAATTCAACTCAAAAAGCATTACTGGACACCTACTCTATACCACAAGCTTTGTGATACTTAGATTTCCTGCCGACTGGAGCGCCTGTTTTTTACTGCATTTGGTAAGGAAGGTCCAATGTTCCTTTAAAAACATTGGAACGTAGGGGTAAAGGACAGATCCACCTCTGAAACAGTCCAAGGGAGGAAAAGAGCCTCTTAGGCACTGGTGTTGTTTGGTCCTGGTTCCAAAAACATGGTCAAGGGAAAATGATGGTGGAAAGATCTCTCCCCCAGGGAGAGCCCCATTTGGTCTGTGGTTCATGATTCTGTTATTTGTTTGGACCTTTTTCAGGTGAGCCGTAATTTTGAGCTGGTTGGACGGGTTAACTTGGATCAGCTGGAACAGATGAAGGAAAAGATGGAGAGCTCCAGCAGTGAGGACGAGGACAAGGAAGAAGAAATGAACAGCAAGGCTGATGACAGAGGTTAGTCCCAGCCCTGCCCTCGGAGGCCCAGATGGCATCTAGCACGTCCATGGTGAGACAGAAGGGAGGCAGAAGGTTGTTGGAGGAGGAACAGAAGGAATGATCCTCCTTAGTTAAGTAGCAGAACAGACTGACTTAAGAAACATGTCAGGGGCCATGTCTTCGTAAACTATTACCAGCTATAGGAACTCCAAGGAAAACAGACATTTTCTAACTATAGCTATATGTTTGTTAAAAAGTATATGGGGGTGATTTGTTTTTAATAAGGAAAACTGGTGTCTAGGGAAACTTCACAGTAAGGACAGGCAGAGAGAGGACACTAAAGCTATGGGGGAATGTGAATGAACTTCCTATTGAGCACTTAAGTAATATTGCTGCTGCTGGGGTAAAATTGAGGCTGTGTGAGGAGGGGTGGGCTGCAAAGGACTTGAGCCCTGAGCTTTTCCAGAAGTCCCTCTGCCTGGCCCTTTTCTAAACCCCCTCGCTGCTCTTTTTGCTCTGTAAAGAGGGAGAAAGAGGCCAACAGTTTTCATTCAGCCGTGTGTTTACAGGGACAGGTTTCATGGGATTTTTGTACTATTTTTCCAATTTCCTCTGAGTCTATAATTACTTTCAAAATAAAGTTTTTCAGAAGTATATTTAGCTGTAGACATACATTTATATGGTCTAGAGTTGGTGTTCTGTATTGTTCAACATAGAACATTGTGAAATCCCAGGAGGGTGCATATAAGAATATGGGTTTGGGATCTGTTAGGTTAGTTACTGTAGATTCATCAAAAGCACATGGATAACAAACATGAAAAATAGACATTATAGATAGGAGAAGAATGATGTTAGTTACCAGCATTGAGCTTCCTTATGTGCCAGATCCAGTGTTGGTGGGTTTTATATAACCCTTTTTTCTTTAATCTTCTATAATGTAAAGGGTTCTGCAGTTGGCTTGCCTGGATTTAGCTCCCAGTTATGCTACTAAACTAGCTGTGACTTTGGGTAAAGTATTTTATCCCATGTGCATTCATCATCTATAACAATAATAATATCACCTACCTCTTAGAGTTGTGGAAAGCTTGAATGAGATCATGTACAAGACACCAGCCCAATTCCCAGAACATAGTAACCGCCACATAAATGATAACCCTGCAGTGTACATGGTATTATTATCATTTTACAAATGGAGAAATAAAGGCCCAGAAAATTAAGAGCTCATTCAAAGGAAAGAAAAAAACATCATACCTTGGAGGCTGAATTTAGGTCTTCTGGCTCCAAAGGCAAGATCTCTTTGTACTACATCCCCTTTCCCCAACCTTTTGGCAGTGGAATGTTCTTCATCGAAGGGAACCTAACCCTGAATGCCTTCAGGCCTCACTCTGAGGTGCACTTCTGCAGAATATCTTTGCTTTTCCTCCTTGCTCCGTCTACAGGCCTATGAAAGCCTATTTGGTGGCCATTTCCCTCGAAGGTTCTCCCTGTTCTTTTTCCTGACCTGCCCCACTTCCACTCCATTCCCACCATGACACCATAGCAGGAGACCACAGGTTTGCAACATGAGGGGCCAATTGGGCCCCTCGATCCCTAGTGAAGAAAACAGCAGGGACTGCCAACTCTTCAAAGCCCCCATGCCCATGGGCAACCTGAAAAACGAACGGACAAAGAACACATCCTACCATATAGGTTGATTGCCCTCGTAAAGTTACAACTTTTATTAGGAGAGGCCACAGTGATCCATTTCTTGGAAGGAAAATGGCTATGATCTAAGGAAGCATGGTTCCCAATTTTTTTTTTTTTTAACATTTCACAAATATGTTCTTAGTGATGAATTCTTTAACGTCTGTGCACTGTTACCAGAGTTCTCTGGAAGAGGATGCTTTTGACAGAGGGTACAGAGGCTCCTTTTGCTTCATGATGCTCTGTGCCCTGCTGTTCCTCTCCAGGAAATAAATTATTCCTCGTTGGATGCTATGACTTTTTTTAATCTCTGAAGCTGAGCACATACGATTTTAGAGGTTATAAGCATGGCAGAGGCAAGAACCCCCTTTAGTCCTCCCCTCCTCTGTGATTCCTCCAAAATGAAAGCATCGCAAGTTAGAAAAATAGATGGCAGTTAGGGATGGGGGGCACCAGGCAAATTCCCTTGCTTGCCTGGCTTGGCTGTCCCCTTCGCTTGGGCACTGGGGCATCAGACCAGTTCCGTTTGACTGGAAAGAATTTCATGGTGTCTGATCGCTTCTCACCGGGAAGTGTAGTATCCACATTCGTGAGCCCTAACCACATGGGGAAAAAAAGAAGTCTTGGGGTGGAGGAGCCTGTATTCCTCTCTCTGAGGGTCGGGGATCTATGTGAGTAACTTCTAGTGATGCTAATGGGCTTTCCAAGCCTACCTCCCCATCCCCCTCGCCATTCTTGAAAGAACAGCCTCCTTTGTCTCATCTCCTTTGAATCAATTTTCCACCACCTAGGTATATTCTTGCCAACAAGAAGAAATGGCAAACAATAGCCTTGGGGTGTTTTTGCCAGACGGTCTGTCTTCTAGGAGTAGAGCGGGAGGTGGCTTTAGTACAGCTCTCAGGGCTGATGGAGAGCTATTTGATGTGTGACAGGTAATGACTGGCCTCGTCCTTTGAGGATGAAACAGCATGAGCCATTGGAAAGAATAGATGACTGGTTTCATGTTTCCTAAGGGTAAAGGAGCAAATGTGCCAGGAGCATGCCCCTCGTTGGCATTGTAGACTTTCATCAGGCACACTCAGTTCGGGGGGCTCACGTCCTTGTAGCTCCCCCACTCTCCGTGCCCTTTCCAACACGGGAACTGGAGAGGAGACTGACCGCTGCCACGCTGCAGGTCCTGCCTAGGCAGCTCGGAGGGAATTTGAAAGAGAAGAAGCCAGGCATGAAGAAATCAAAATTAACCCAAGCAGAATCCTCCCCACCCCCTCTCATTATGCAGTTGGGAGGAGTCAGGAAGGCATTCTGTTGATTTCTTGCCCAAGATAATCCCTGCTAAGGAATTAATGCGCAGAGCAGATGGTGCTGTCTCATTTCCAATGAAAAGAATCAAGGAAGATAGTCTGTGCAATTATTTTTAATGGCTTGTGTGGTGATCTTCTTAATTTGTGAGAAAATGTTTCATCTTTTGTTAAAACTGGCCCTATTCACATAGCTTTTTGTGCTAAAGATTAAGGCAGCACAGAGACACCTATCCTGTTAACATCATCCTGAGGATTTTATTAGATGGAGTATTTCAACCAGGAGACATCCTCCTGTACCATCTTGTATGTACAGGCATAGAGTGATCAGATATGTAGAGATGATAGACATTTCCTTGTCCACTGCCCTCATTTTGCAGCGTGGCCACAGGCCTGTCTCGGTCCTGCTGTTATTCCCCACGGGAGGATGGGCCCTCTGTGGTATAATGAAAGACATATGGGCTTGGGACTCAGGAGAACACAAAGGCCATGTGATCTCTCCTCTTGGAGTTTGCCAGGAGGAGTGGTCTGTGAACAAATAGCTGGCCAATCCGCATTTATCAGACCCCTAGCATGTGCCCAGCGCCATGGAGAAAACAAAACAACAGTCAATATTTGATGTTTACAACAGGCCTGTCCAGAAACGTCTATATGCCCACATTCATGAATACCACCAATTGAGGAGTAGATACCAGGCAGCCAGCCAGGGTCCCTCACCAGCTGAGGACATGCTTTCACATACCGGCCTTCCTGTCCAGGATTCTCGTTCACGCTAGGCTCTTTGCTTGCAGATCTCATTCAGGGCTCGTAGCCACCCTGTGAGGTGTTGATTATGACATCCGTGACAGGTGAGCACAAGTTGTGAGCCCCCGGCCTTACTTGGAACCAGCCAAAACTCTGAGGTCTGCTACACAGAACCTGATCCAGTGCCTTTATGTTCTTTTTAGTGAGCAAAGATAGACCTGTGTTGGATAGAAAATGAATAGGTGCTAACCCGGGAGGCCCTGACAGAGCATCCCAGAAGAGATGTGGTAGATAAACCTGCTGAGACACCGTTGGAATGGACAGAAGGGGTTCTTCGGGCCAGAAAGCCCCAGATTATTTGTGATGGAAGCAGGTGGGGCCGTGAGAAGACATGGGGAGGCTGGGGGCCTGGGAACCAGGAGCAGTTCTTGAGAACTAGCCAAGAAACACCCTTAGGTGAGAAGCCGGTAGGAGAAAGAGTAAGGAATCTGGAAATTGCCTTCACAGATGGTTTTACAAGTGAAGGTAGGAGAGGAGGTTTCCTAATGAATGTGGACTAACCTCTTCTGCCTCCTCCCACAGCACACAGGTAACACTTCTGCTTTCTCCTCACAGATCTGATGAGATTTTCTGACCGTGGCACTGCTATTAACACCGAGAAGCGTTTTCCATGTGAATTTTGTGGACGGGCGTTTTCACAGGGCTCTGAGTGGGAAAGGCACGTGCTGAGACACGGCATGTAAGTTGAGCCATCCCAAGCCATCACTTGCCCAGAGAAGTGAGAAGTGTCAGGGAGAGCAGGTTCTTTTTGTTTTTTCATTGTTGTTGTTGTTTGTGGGGTTTTGGTTGTTTTTTTGGTTTTTTGTTTTTAGGTTTTTTTTTTGTTCTCCTGACAATCCATAGACCCCTCCCTCTGTGTCACACTTCTGGGCATGGGAGGAGAGGCAGTTGTCAGGAACTAGGTTTTGTTCTTTTCTGTTGGTTTTTTAAATGGTCACCCATACACAAGTCAAATGAGGAAAAAATCATCTTTATGAATGACAAATCCCACCCAAGCCCTCACGTGGAAGTTTAGTGCTGTTCTCCAGCCAGTGTCCCTTCAGCTTTCATTAGCGTGACATTCTCTGATAGAGCGTGGACCGGGGTCAAAAGATCTGGCTTCTGTTCCTGCCTCTGTGATGACTCATTCCCTGAGTGGCCTTGAACATGCCCTCGCACCTCTTGGTGCCTTCAGTGCTCTGCCTCGGGGACAGAGCCAGCTTCTGCCTGCCTCCCAGGTAGGTGGGGGCATACCCGTAAAACACTTAAAAAAAATCCTTGAACATAAAATCGCCCCCTAGACAAGGCATTCTTAGCCCATGAGACACAGAGAGAACCTAGGAGTTGGTCCTCGGGTAGAAAATGCCCCAGAAACCCCAAGCATCTAAACTTCAGAGAAGATTAACTAAGCTTCCTGAGACCTGGGTTCCATCTTCAGGTTTTTGCTCTTTGTTTCTCTGATTTGTTCCTGGACTTGTCCATTAAATCTTTACCTGAGTTCCTCTTTTTAGTCTTATTAAATATGGCCAATCTCCAAGTTTGTGGGTTCCATGGATGAGCTTGAGTGAAAGACAGTTCTTGCTACTACCACTTGTGACTTATGACCAACCCAGTAGATGAGGGAACATAAAATAATTGTTAATGTGTCCACATTACACATGGTATAATTAAAACATAGTATAATAATGGATACTTTTGTAGATTCACATCTTCAGTAAGATGCCAGAAAGAAATGACCTAAGCATAACATGTAACAAGGATAAATCACTGACAATTTAGTCCTACATTCATGGCATTTATGCAAAGGAAACCCCAAGGTCTTTTTAGGATCAGGGAAATAAGGACACTTTTTGGCTTAATTAGGAAAAAATGCATACTCACCCATCTCTCCCATCAATGTTTTTCCAGGGCATTGAATGACACCAAGCAGGTGAGCAGAGAAGAAATCCACCTGAAAGAGAGTGTGGAGGACAGTATTAAGATGCCCTCTATAGAGGAAAAGGAAGATGACGAGGCAATCGGGATAGACTTTTCCCTAAAGAATGAAACAGTAGCCATCTGTGTAGTAGCTGCTGACAAATCTCTCCTGGAGAATGCAGAGGCCAAAAATGAATAAGCGTTTGGTGAAATTCTTAATCAAACCGTACTTGAACCGTGATGAGAAAGTGGGAGGGCCAGCTTGGGCTGAGAAGGGGGAGGGGGGGAACAGAAAAGAAGACAGAACAAAGCTGCTTTTTAGGACTGAACAATCTATTTTCAAAGCACTGGTACCTGTGTGAGTGAGTATGTAAATTAAAGTTATTTAAATGGTTGGAATATGTGGCTCCTTTTCCATCACTACACCTTTCCTTCCGGATCTTCATCATGGAAGCGTCATTTGTTGTGGAATATGGAAGCACCTCCCGTGCGCACGGTGTGCTCCGTGGCGGTCTTTGGACAGGATGCGGAAACAAGCTCCATGACAGTAGAAGACTTCTCTTAGGGGAACAACTTTTTGACGCACATCTTTTGGTGCGTTTTTCTAGTTTTAATACCTTAAGCTTTTTCAAGACCTAACTGCAGCCGCTTTGGGAAAAAACAAACAAACAAACAAAAACCACAAAAAAAAAAAAACAAAAACAGAAAACAAAAAACTGCTTTGCATAAAACAGTCACCTGTTTCCTAGTACCTCAAACTTAACCAAGGGAATTCTCTGCATTTGTCAGTACTACCTGTCGTCGTCGTGGTTAAATGTAGAGAGAACTGCTGGGCAAGACGGTGAATGGATTAAAAAAAAAAAAAAAGAGTTTTAAAGAAAGGAACACAAATTGTGCTTAAAATCCCCACGTGGGTTTTATTTCTTAAAATACTGTGATTTTTTTAATTATTTTAGTAAAAAACAAAACAAAAAAAAAGAAACAGACTTTAATTATTAGATAACTGTTTGTGAATTGTCATCCTTTATTCCAGGTAAGCTGTTTATTAGCGTTCAACTATAATTTAGAATTTGGTAGATTCATGTGAGCTAATTTTACGGTGACTGTGGATTTTTGTTTGCCATATGTTTATTTTCTATCAATTTGAGTGTTACAAACACAGCACAATTCAGTTTTCACATAAATTGTTTTTTGTGTGCGTGTTGTTATTATTGTTTTAATTTGGGGGGCAAGGGAGATTGAGTTTTTTTGTGAATAGGAATGTTTTTATTTTAAACATGGAAATAACAAAGAAGTTAACTTTTTTTTCTTAATTTAACTAAAGAACCAAACTTTTTGGCACAGCTATGCAGCTTGTGGGCCAGACGAGGAAGTCCTCTTCACCCTTTTGTTGCTTGTCAAATTAACACGTTATCCGTCTCACACAAATAATTTGTAGGATGGGCTGGCTTTTGTGTGTGATTTTAAAATGTGTGTTCTGTTTTTGTTTGCATTGTGTTTGGGGGAGGGTTTTTCATTTATTTTGCGGAACAAGGGGATGTGCTAGAATCCCATCCCTTTGGTGAGAGTGGACAAGAAATACTTATATCCTACAAGGAGCCTGGAGAACTTTTTTTTTTTTTTTTTTTTAAACTCTAGCTACCAGCTGCTCTGTTTCCCCATATTAGCTTTTTCAGGAGGGAGCAGCTTAGACTAAATCTAAGTCTACATTTATAATATGTTCTGATTGTGAACAAAGGGTTCCATTCCAAAAAAGTAGAACTTTCCTTGAAGCCTAGATTATAGAGAAGCCTGTGTGTGTGTGCACTTGGATGCGTGTGTGCTCGTGTGCGTGTGTGTGAGTCCTTTGGTTTTCATGTTTTGTTTTGTTTTGTTTCTTACTTGGAAGGGTTGCGGGAGGGGGAGGGAAGAAAGGGACAGGGAATTGCTGAGATGACAGTGTCCCACACAGCTTCAAATAAAATCCATGGAAAGATAGTGCATTTGTGGAATAAGTGCTTACTTGAAAAGCATGTTCTTCTTTTATTTTCTTGCTGTTAAGAAATTTTATTTGTAGGGAGTTTAATTTAATTTTTTTTTTTTTTAGGGATGGGGGCCATCATGTGGAAACCAGAAAATGGGGAAAGTGTGATCTAGACAAAGATAACATTTTGTGTCCATATTTGTTTTTAATTGGCCTCATTTCAAATGTATTAAACAGTTGCATACCTGGATTGGGTGTTTGTAATGGTTACCAAAAAAAAAAAA